TATTATTCAAAATGGGTGACCCTGGAGGACATTATGCTGAGTGAAGTATCTCAGTCACAAAAGGACAAATACTGCATGGTGCCACTGTTGTAAAACCAGACTAACATAAGGGTTGGGGGGAGACTGAGAAAGATGGGTTCAATAATGCATATGGCATTGAAACAGATGAGGGAGAAAACTTTTTAGGAGGAATACATGATTAGGTATTATTGTCATGACAAGAGTCCAGAATGAAAGCTGCATAATGGTGTGGACTGTGGGAAGGGACTATATAACAATGAAAGAATGTTTTTAACTTTTCAAAGATAAAAGCGAACAGGGAGGGGGGCAGGTGCAGCGAGGAATGTGTTACAATGAATGAATGGAAATCCAAAGTCTCTGTAAATTTTCATTAAAATAAATAAAAATTAAAATTGGAAAAAAGTACTCTGAGGTCCGTAGTTCAACAGAATTTGCTTGATTTTTATTAAATCACACTTCAGACCAGAGCTCAAACCGTCAGATAAGAAGAACCTGCATGTTAACAAAACACCAAGGTGATCATGATGCATATTACAAGCTCAGTGTCGCTGAACTGAAGTTTAGAGCAGGAAATGTGAAGGGAGACTAGAAGCGTTTTGGAAGTAATCAAAGTGGAGCTCAGAGGGCACTTTGCTGTCTTTATATACATCTCACTTGCCTCTTGAATTAAGAACAGAGGAAGAGAGGTGGAAACCTTGGCTGCAAAGTTTAAAAAGAACTATTTACATTATGAGCTGGATAATAGAGTCATTTTCTAGGCAATAAATTATGAATAACATGTTTATGGGTATAAGAATCTGTGTGTATCAAATATAAATTAATATAAATCATATCATATATGATCATATATATGTTATATAAACATGTATACATATATATAGAAATCATATATGGGAGATTTTATATATATTTGGAGATAATCAAGGGGGAGCAACACATAGAGATAAATATTCCCACAGTACTCTCTATAGATGAAAATGTAGGTTTCAAGCCTAAATTTTTTTTTAATATCTCAGTTTTCCAATTCACTCTTCAGGCACATGGAATATAATACTTTTGTGTGTACTTTTTAATCTTAGAGGTTTTTTGTTCTTTAATTCAATTTCCCGTAATATGATTATTTTTATAACGGCATTTACTAATGAAAAGATGTTGCAAACTTTTGAGGCTAAAAAAATTATGTATAGTTTAATTTAGTTTCAAATTCAAATTCTCATCAATAAATCTTTATTACTATTTTGTACTTAAAAAAATGTTTTGTACTTAACAGAAAACACTGACTAAACCACCACTGGAAACACCAGCTACTGGTTTCAGATGACATAATCTTTCATTCAAATCAATAACTGTTCAAAAACATTTATGACAAAAATGACAACAAAAAATATGAAATCTGTGTGCAGTATTACCTACCTGTAGCTCCCAGTGGGTGTCCTTTTGAAATCAATCCACCACTAGGATTTATGACCCACTTTCCTCCATAAGTATTATCTCCTCTATCAACCAGTATTCTACCTTGTCCTATGGAAGGAAAAACAATATTTAAAAATAGAATGTTACAACAAACTATTTCTTAGGAAATTTTTAGGTTATAACCAAGAATTTCTTAGCACAAATATTTCTTAATAGTTCAAACTTCCATAAATTTGAAATGTTGTTTTTGTTGTGTACCATTAAGTCAGAGCCTACTCATAGCTGACCCCCAGCGGGTTTTCAGAGGCAGTAAGCTGTACAGAAGGAGACTGCCCATTTTTCTCCTTCAGAGCAACTGGTGAATTTGAACCACGTGCCTTTGGGTTGGCAGCACAAACTCCTTAAGACAAAGCCACAAGAGTTCTCTCAATTTGATACAAGCAATTCTAAAGTTTGCAGTAAAAAATTTCCTTTTACTTGGATCCACAATTAACACCCACCAGTGGGAGCAAAAGTCAAGAAATCAAATGACATATTGCAAAATTGCTCTCAAGGCCACTTGCATGGGGCAAATTGCAAAGTGCAAGAAGAATAAGGACGTGAGTTCAAAGATTAAAGTGCACCTGGCTCAAGTCATGGTATTCTCACTTGTTTCATATACACTTCAAAGCTGAACAATAATAAGGAGGATGGAAGAAGGAGTGACATCTTTGAATTATGGTATTGCTTAAGAATACTGGGTAGGACAAATACCACATAGTGCCACTGTTGTAAAGCAAGACTGACATTGGAGTTGGGGGGAAACTAAGAAGAGATGAATAATATATACTGCATTGAAACAGATGAGGGAGAGTACTGTTTAGGAGGAATACATGATTAGGTACTATCGTCATGACA